CCGAAGGGACCCAACCGCGGGTAAGGAAGGCTCGCAGGCCCTGGAGACCTCTCTATCCCGGGCCCCTGGCCAGACTTGCCCCTCTGCCTTGGTGCGCTGGCTTCCTGCTCTGCAGCGAGCATCCGCAGGAGGGATGCCAGGATCCCGGACGCCTCCTCTGAGGTCTCTGCACCTGGGTCTCAGACAGCCGGAAACACGCAGGAGGTGGGGCGAGAGGGCAGATACAGAAGGTAAAGAGGAGAGTGACATTGGAAATGACTGTCACCTCTCCTGCAGCCAGTAAAGGGCATGCGTAGGCACTGACGCCGTTTCTTCACGCCTTGCTAGCTGCGTGACCTGGAGCCAATATCAAGCCTGAGTTTTTTCATGGGTAAAAGGAGATAATGTCGACCCCTGCCTTAAAAGGCTGCTATGAGGATGACCTGCGGTAACGATTTAAAACACCTAGGAGTGCATCGCACATAGTTTAGCTGGCGTTATTTTTCGAAGGTCCTCTAGCAGATAGCTACGCCATTCTTCAGTTTCTGCTTATCGGAGGCTGGAGTTTGTCCAATTCACCATTGTCTACCCAGTGCCCAGCCAGGACTGGCACAAGCTGCTTAGTAATGTTGAAAAAGGGATCGAGTGCCCCCGTCTCCAGCAGCAGCTTGCAGGGCTTTAGATCAGAAATCAAGGGCCTGGTTTGGATTAGAGTTCGCGTTGCCCAAAGGCTGCTTGGACATATGAGTGCTGCCTTTGTTCTTAAAGACATGCAGGGCTTGGCATCCCACAGCTTCACTTTGTGAAACATTTTCCTGTGTTTCCTCTCCTGCTAATCTTGGTGAGTTCTTGCTTCCGTTTGACTGAAATTTCTCTTGCTGCACTTGAAGAAGCTTCTGTCTCTGGTCTTCTTTGAGTAGACACAAAGTGGCTAGTCCCTGTTCTCTTTGTAACAACTTACTGTGCCTCAGAAGTGGCTCACAGTCTCCCTGCTTTTCGCTCTGTATTCTAGCCTTTTTTTTTCTCCTTGCCCCATGGATTTTGAATTCCACAGACCACTCCCGGTGGGTCATTACAAACGCAGCTCTGCAGTGCCTTTCTGCTGTATGTCTGCGTTAAGATGGAGAAACAGTAGGTGGTGGAGAAGGGAGATGAAAGGAAGGACTCTTTTTTTTTGAGATGGAGTCTCACTGTGTCACCAGGCTAGAGTGCAATGGCGGGATCTCGGCTCATTGCAACCTCTGCCTCCCAGGTTCAAGCGATTCTCCTGCCTCAGCCTCCAAGTAGCTGGGATTACAGGTGTGTGCCACATGGCCTGGCTAATTTTTGTATTTTTAGTAGAGACAGGGTTTCACCATGTTGGGCAGAATGGTGTCGATCTCTTGACCTCGTGATCTGCCCGCCTCGGCCTCCCAAAGTGTTGGGATTAGAGGCATGAGACATCACACCTGGCTGGAGGGAAGGACTCTTCAGGCAACTTGGATGTGGTCAAGGTTGGCCTCTCCATGAGTTGACACTTTTCAGTTTTTATTTTCTGGCTTGCCATTCTTACCCTGAGTAGAATTCAGCCTCCTGTGTCCAGGAGGCATCAGGAAGGCCAATGGAGAAGAGCTGACACCAGGAGCTCTGGCCCTGGCCCTGGCCAGGCCTTGTGAGGGTGCTGTCAGCATCTGCCCTGACCCGTGTCCTCTTCTGCTACAGAGTGATCATCACCATGCTGGTCGCCACCGCCGTCTGCTGTTACCTCTTGTAAGTACTACTCTCTCCAGCTCAAAATCAGCCAGTTCCTTTGTCCTCCCTCCTTTCCTCCTCACCCTAGCCTGCTCTTCCATCTGTCCTGATAGTGAACGCCTCTTGAAAGGCTGAACCTATAAAACAACAGGAGTGGAGGTAGTGTGGAATGGGAAAGAGAGCAGGTCAGCAGTCATGAACCCTGGGCTCTGGATCTGGCCCTACCCCAGTGTTCTGGCCCCCATGGGCTGCAGTTTTCTCACCTGGGCAAGGAAGGAGTCTGTGCCTGACTGGGTCCCTGAAGTGATTGTTCAAACACAGTTTTCAGGCTGCACCCTAGACCCATGAAATTACAACTCTTGAGATCTGTACTGGGGAATTCCTGTTCATGAATGGCCTCAGTTGACTGGAGTGCAGCCAGCTTAGAACCACTAGGTGAGAGGCCGGGTACGCTGGCTCATGCCTGTAATCCCAGCACCTTGGGAAGCCGAAGTGGGTGGATCGCAAGGTCAGGAGTTTGAGACCAGCCTGGCCAACATGGTGAAATCCTGTCTCTACTAAAAATACAAAAATTAGCTGGGCATGGTGGCACCCACCTGTAGTCCCAGCTACTCTGGAGGCTGAGGCAGGAAACTCTCTTGAACCCAGGAGGCAGAGGTTGCAGTGAGCCAAGATCATACCACTGCACTGCAGCCTGGCAACAGAGCAAGACTCTGTCTCAAAAAAAAAAAAAAAAACTGCCCCCACATCCATCCCAATTCTGCTGTCACACTGCTCCGTGATTGGATGATCCTGGTTGCCAACCAAGAGATAATTTCAAGTTCTAATTTGTGGGGACGCCTGTCTTGTGATTAATCAAGCTTCATTAAGGCTGTGGGGTATCCCATCTTCCTATGTCTTGTACGTTATTTTTATGGGTTAAGCTTGGCGTGGTTGGGTGTTCTTAATTCAGAACAATCAAAACAGGCCAGGTAAAGTGATGAGATGCTGATTCTTTAAGAGGTAACAGATTATTTTGAAAGCAACTGGAATATTTCTTAGAGCTGCCAAATTTTTCAAAATGCATAGACAAAACCCACTTTTAAAAACTTTACTTGATTGATTTCAAATTTGATGCATATTATAGTTAAAACTTTTATCTGATTAGGTCATGGATTCTTTATTCCTATTAATCAATTCTCTTATTTTACCTTATGTTTCGTTGATTGATTGATTGAAATGGGGTCTTGCGATGAGGCTAGTATGGTTTCCAACTCCTGGGCTCAAATGATCCTCTGCCTCAGCCTCCCCAAGTAGCTGGGATGATAGGTCTATCAACTGCACCTGGCTGTTAATTAATTAGTCAACAGGGTCTTGCCCTGTTGCCCAGCCTGGAGTGCAGTGGTGGGATCACAGCTCACTGCAGCCTCAACCTTCTGGGCTCAAGCCATCCTCCCATCTCAGCCTAGCTCTGACCATAGCCGTGCGCCACCACGCCTGGCTGATTTTTACATTTTCTATAGGGACAGGGTCTTGCCATGTTGCTAAGGCTGTACTTGAACTCCTTGGTGTAACGGATCCTTCCGCCTCGGCCTCCTGAGTAGCTAGGATTCCAGGCACATGCCACTGCACCCAGAAATGTATAATACCTCCTACCGACAAAAACCAAATGTGTGAGAAATAATGATGACGCTTAAAACATGGTTTAACTTAAACACATGGTTTGTTCAAAGCTCCCCCTGGACAGAGCATCTCTAAGGCCCTTTCTCTAATGCTATTTCTAGGTCCTTCAGAGGTTGACAAAATCTCCTCATCTGCCCATGGCCAGGCCTCAGGGGCGCTTGGGTTTGGTGGCTGGGAGGGTGGGGGAGACAGGGTCTACACAAGATGTGGGGTAATTCCAAATACCAACCAAATCAACATATGGGAAACAGAAACCATGCTGCGAATTGGATGCGTACAGGTAGAAAGGTGGGCCATCCTAAGAAAACGTCACGCCTAGAAATTGTATTTCCAAAACATAAACTTGGAGAGAATGCTGATGTAAAGCAGGTCATGATTCTGATGGCTTCCTGGGCAATAGGCCCTCCTAGCTACTGTGGGGGATTCAAAGGGAAAAATATCAACCCTTCCTACAGAAACAGACAAAGCCGTGTGAATGTGGTCTTAGGGGCCCTTCCAAGTCAGGCACTGGCAGAGCGTGGAGACGTACTAACTACTGTGGTAAATGAGGTTGGGAGGTTTGTCATGAATGACGGGGCCAGACAGCCACCCAGATGTCCAGCAGTGGTGACAGGGAGGTCAAGTCCCTGAGGGTTTCCTGGCCTGAAGAACAGAGGTGGCCTGGCAGCAGCCTGGGCAGGAGGCCCCTGACCCTTCAGCTCCTCATGTCTTGGGATAGTTCCTTCACCTCCCTCCTAAGAGAAGGTGATTCTGATGTGCTGCCTGCCAGGCCCGCCCTGATCACTCCCTGGTTTGTGGAGTCTGGGGACCTGGACGGAGATGTCTGAGGGCATAGCTGGGAGTCTCTCCCAAAGTGTCCCCGAAGCTGCCTCCCCTCTTCCCTAATTCCAGGTCCAGCCTCAGCTCAGGGCTGACCTACAGATCTACTGAACATCACATCAAACCAAACCCACAGTGCCATACCACCCCCACGCACCTGCCAGAGTGTGGATGGTTCCCTGGGTCCCTCTGCCCTGAGAACACAGGCCCTGCCATCCGCTGGGCTGGTCGCATCCAAAAGAGTGAGACTGAGGCCTGCCCTGTGGGTAAGGGAGGACCCTCCTGTGCTGGGCTCACTGTGCTTTACTGTCCCCGGCAGCTGGCTCATTGCCATCCTGGCACAGCTGAACCCCCTGTTCGGGCCCCAGCTGAAGAATGAGACCATCTGGTATGTCCGCTTCCTGTGGGAGTGACCTGCCACCCAACCCAGGTACCGTTTGGGTGAGGGGTGTGGGTGGGTAAGGGGAAAGACAAGGCTGTGGTGTGAGTTCTTGTTGGAGTTCAGGCATCTATTTTGTGGGAAAAATGGCGGGGAGGGGACTGAGCATCGACTCCCTTCCTGCTTGGCACTGCATTGGCTGCCAGGAATGAAATGGGGACCACACTCCCAGAGCCCCCCATCCTCACAGTGCTTCACCCCAAGGCGAGGCCCTAACCTGGGCCCTAACCTGGATGGAGGGAGAGGGTAAGCTGAGGACTCTCCGGGCAGGGGCGTGGGTGCTCTCCAGGGAGGGGCGAGGGGAGCGGGGTCTCCACAGCGAGGCCAGGACCCTTCCATGTGATGTGCTTTCCAGGTGCAAGCTCTCGGCATGACCGTGGCTCCACTGTCCCTGACTGACCCTTCGTCTGGACCCTCCCTCGCACAGCTGTGTCTGGTCTTCAGCTCCCTCCTGCTGGCACCCAGGGGCCCGGCCTGCAGGGTCTGCCTGGTTCTTGGAAGTCTTACCAGTCTTCCCAGCCAGCCTGGGCCCTGGGGAGCCCTGCGCACAGCAGCGGCTGAGGGGACGTCCTGCTCCAATACCCACACTGCTCTGGGGTTTGCCCTCTCTCCCGAGGAGATGCTGCTGGGGAGCTGGTAGGGGTGGGGTCTTTCCCTTTACAGATGGGGCAGATGCCAAGACTCGGCCCAGCCTGAGGAGGACATGTGTCCTCATGGAGAGGGTGCTCCAGCCCAGGCCAGGGAGTCAGTGCCCAGTCAGCAGCTCTGCTACCAGCCTGCTGGGCACTGGGGGCCTCTACTGGGTTAAAGGCAATGCCTTTCCTCTGGCATGGAATTATTTGTTGATTTTCTGACACATCTAGATGTGAAATTTTTACAAATGTTGAAGTAGAGAAACATTCGCACACAAAAGCAACATAGTCATGTGGGTCCAGATGGCCTCAGCCCTAGATGTGGCGTCCTTTGCTGCCTCTCCTTAGAATATCCTGTCCCGCCTCCTCCCACCTGGGCCTCCCCTTGGTAGATCTCTCCCCTCCCTGACCCTAGCTTGTCAGTCTGTGCAGGTTTGGGCTCGGCCTCGGCCTCGGGTTGCAGCAGGGGTGGATTTCAGAGCCTCATGGCAGCAGCTAAGTGACCAGAGCTGGGATGAGAGACGGGGAAGGGGCAGTGTGAGCAGCTCTGCAGGGCTGCCTAGCCCTGCTCCTGAGCCAGCCCCACCCTCTGCCCCCCCAGCCCTGGGCTCTGTGCCAGGGATGGTAAAGAATGGGGGCGTACCAGCCTGGCAGGAGTGGGAAGCAGCACGCAGGGGTCCCGGGCCTCTCCAGCCTTGCCCTCATGCTTACCTAAGGTCCTGGTGTGGTTAACAAAGAGTTCACCCCCCACCGGGGGCCTGTCCTCACTGCCGCTCCAGGGGAAGAAACACCAGCCTCACTTCTGTATGGACTGCTGATGAGGCCTGCCATCCTGTTTAGCGGGCATTGTCTTTGGAGCAGGAGGAGAAGAGGATGCATCTCACTCATCCTGGGTCCAGGCTGGCCAGCTGCTCAGGGCTCAGGCTAGGGCCACCCATTTGACATCCTCCCCCAAAACTCCCTCTCCTGGCCTCTGTAGCCACTCCTGTTGGGGTGACGGTGCTCAGTGTGACTTGTGCTGATAAACCTGGTTCATGTCTAATAAATAACAGTGATGAAAAGATTACTGTTTGGTGACAAAGCCCTGGCCTCTGCCTGTGTGCCGCCGCCCCCACCCCCACCTGATTCTTGTTTCTTCGGTGGGTGGGTATGGGGAGCAGGAAAGTGTTCCAGCAGCTGCCGGTCTACTCTCCTGGGATCTGGAGGAAAATTTGGGCCCCTGCTGACTGCCCAGATTTGGCAGAGAACCAAGCAGGCCTGGCAGGAAGACAGAGGACTTGTTCAAGTGCAGCTTAGAGCACCACTTATCTGGGCCCCAGAGGATAGAGTGCAGGACTCCTGGGGCTCTGCAGTGAAGCAGGTCCCCAGTGGCTCCAAGGCCTGCCTCATTAAATATCCTAGGGCTGGGATGTGCCTGCAGGGTCAGTGGGGAGGTGGGCAGAGGGAGCCCAGCACTCCAGCCCAGTCTGCAGCTCATGGGCAGAGCTGGAAGAACTTCCCAGGAGGGACTGGAGGATGGGGCGGGACTGGGAGGCGCACAGTGGAGGCTCCCGATCACCGAGGGCCGAAAGCCAGCTGAGGAGCTTGGATGGATCCCAAGGGCCATGGAGGCCATGAAAGAGATTTAAAGCAGGGCCGTGACATGGCCAGCTGGATCTCTAGCATGATCTCTACAAGCTGCACAGTGGATGGCAGGCTGGTTTGACATCTTTATTAGGTTCCCTGGTGGATGTGGTGAGGACAGAGAAGTGAGGGAGCTACATGGTCGTGACCCAGAGACCGAGGCTGCACAGTGGTAGGGAGCGCGGCAGGGGCAGGTCTGAGCAGGTGCAGGAGCTAGGTTTCCCTTTGCTTCCTGCTGAGTCGTGTGTGTCCAGGACACCCAGTAGAAGTGTTGGTAGTGGTTCAATGGGTGGGGTGGATGGTCAGGGGGAAGAGGAGGCTGCAGGATGCAGAGTTGGAGAGGTCCAGGGATGCCGCTTTGGCTGCCAGAAGCTGTGCTAGGGTTGGTCCATTCTCTTGGTGCTGGGGTTTGGACACAGTCACTATGTACCCAACTTCTTTTACAGTTCTCAGTTTCAAACCCCACCCGCCCGACACCACCCCCAATATGGGAGACACATCAGTAAATGTCAGCCTCTGACACAGATGACCATGAACCTACACGATGCCAGCTCTGGAAATGGGCCGTAACTGAGAGTAGGGCCACCCTGAACCATACTAAGTGGCAGAGCGGGAAGTGGCTGTGGAGGCCACCCTGGGACAGAGGACAAAGCCACTGAGAACAAAAAGTGAAGGTAGCCAAGAAAAATGAAGCTACACACGGTGTGTGGCCGATAGAGGGCAGCACCTGTGTGCAGGATGAAGTCTCCAGCAAGACCTTGTCCAATTTAGGCATCGCTGGGGGTGGATGGTGCTGAGTCAGAGATGGTGGTCCTAGAGCCATAGGCTTGGGCAGGGAGCCACAGTAATTCTCCAGACAATAATGCAGGCTGGAGGAAACGCCCTTCAGGAATATTTCATAGTGGCAATGGCTACGAGCACTGAGCAGTTACAGGTGCCAGGTGCTGCTTCGGAAACCAAAGGGCCATGCCAAGAGCCCGGCCATTCTCCACTCCAATCCCAGGCTTCTGGAACCGTCTTCTGGTTCCATCTTCCCGAACTGTTTCCTACCTCAACACCCCTGAGAGATCTAGCACATTCCATCACAGGGACGCCACAGATTCTTGCTGCGGGGAGGGAGGTCCTGCTGACCATGGGGTCCACGCTCCCTGCCGAAGCCCCCAGAAAACAGCCCTCAGTTAATTTTGGCTGCATTGAACAGAAATAGGGTAGTTGATAATTCTGGAAAAGTGAGGAGCCAGAGGTGGAATGAGACGAGTGGCTAATGGCCTTATCTGTGTGCTGGAAGTGACCTGTGGACAAACCTCTGGGCTTCCAGGATTGGAATCACTTGGTGGCCACCACAGTTTTGCTTGACCTGTAACACTGGAATGTGAGGGCAGATGGCCAGAGTCCTGTGTGGATTCAGGCCACACACTGGATTAGCAAATCTAAATGCGAATCTCTTTGGGGAGATATTGGTCAAAAGGTAAGAGAATTTCAGTTACACAAGAAGAATAAATCCAACAAATGTAATGTGCAACCCATGGTGACAACGCGCACAACAGTGTATTTATGCTTGGAAATCGATGAGAGTTGATTTCACAAAATGAAAAGGGAGGTAACGCATCTATTGTTAGCTGAATTTAGCCATTCCACATACATTTCCAAAACGTGTTCTATACCTACATGTGTGCAATTTTTGTCAACTTAAAAATAATTGGAAAAAAAAAAGAATCACTCAAACCAAACCAAACAACCCATGGAATACTGGGATGGAAGCCATGTCTATTATGACAGAATTTCCAGGGGTGAAGGAGGCTGAGACTTCTGCCAACTCTCCAGGTGCCTCTCCCGCAGGCAGACCCACCCAGGACCAGCGTTCGGGCTTCATGCTCTGGGTGCAGCCTGCAGTGCTACTTCTCAATGTGGAGTACGGTCTCCTGTCATAGAATAATCTGGAAGGCTTGAAGTGTGGGACCTCAGTTCCTGGGTCCCACACTTCACCCAGTGGGTTTAGTGTCACATGGGAGGTTCTAGACTTCACATTTTAAACCAGCTCCCAAGGGTTTCGATGCTAACTGAAGCCCTCGAGGACAGGATGTCCAAGCCTTGGCACCGCTGCCAATTTGGGCTAGATAATTCTTTGGGGTTTTTGTGGGGGAGGGGGAGCAAGGGAGGGCACTGTTCTGTGCATCCTACGATGCTTGGCAGCACCCTTCCCTTTGCCCACCAGATACTGGCAGAACCCCTCTCCCTGCTCCTGGCCATGACAACTATAAATGTCTGCAGCCATTTGGAAATACTCCCTAGGGAAGCACCCCTACCATTGAAACCACTACTCTAGAACCTCAACCCCTCAAGGGATTTCCAAACTTAGTTATCAACCCAGACCCTCGGGAAAGGAGGCTGGGAGGCCCTGAGGGGAGCCGGGAGCCTTCACCTGGCTTCCCCAGCAGGACTGGAACTTCTGACCAGGAGACCACACCCCAGAAAGAAGGAAGCCCCCAAGCTGCCAGGGACTACCAGGTGTCAGAGCAGGCATGAGCTGGTCTCTCTGCGAGCTGGTGCTTCCCGGGAGGCCGGGGGCAGGGAGCCCTGGCACTGCCCCGAGCCCAGCTGAACTTTGTGCTTTCCCTCCAGGAGGCTTCCTGAGCAGGGTGGGTGGACATGGTTGGGCTGGATATTCTCAGACCCCTACAGGAACCCCATCTTGTCTCCCTAACCTCAGGATTAAGGGCCATGATAGCAGCAAGGGTCTTCCTCCCTCCTGAAATGTCAGGGTTTCATCCTGTGACAAAGACCTGGGACATACAGGGTGGTGACTTCATCTTCTCATTCTGTGTCCTATACAGCAGGAGCCCTCGGCTCTGAATTCCTGTGGATTCTACTGCTTCAATCAGCTGTGATGCCAGGTGCAAAGGCCTTGCCCTTGGTCAGCAGCAATTGATTGAACAAACATATTTCTCTGTTTTTCTCTATCCAGCCTCCTAGAAGCAGATTACCTTCTCTTAGCAGCTCAGCTCAGCCTGGACATTCAGAGTGCAGAGTGTACAGCTGGATCAAATTCCAGCTCTACTGAGGATTAGTTGAGTGAAAGTGACTTAATCTTTCTGAGCTTCATTTTTATTGATGAATCAGGATAATATTAGTAGCACCTGCCTCCGAGAAGTTGTGACTATGAACTGAGATAACAGACTAAAGTGCTTATCTGGTCGATAAATGCTAGCTATTAATTTCGTTATATTTACATATTAACTATTTAATTACATGCCACATTTTATTCTGCCAGGATCTCAGCTTCCTTCCCCTTTCCTGTTGCCGTCATGGTCACCACACTGATGCACTTTGTGGAAGAGGAGGTGGCAAGTGCCCTGCGTGCTTATATATGTGAGATAGAGCTGACAAATAAGTGTCTTTTTTTTACAAAAAATATGTAGCTTTATTTCTGTTTCCTGTCAATGGCTTTAATGCAGAAATGTAGCATCTGCTCAGTAAAAACACCAATGCTTTTGGAGGAAGTGGCTACTAGAATGGTCATGCTGTTACAAAAGCCCTCTGGGAAAAACAAACATGGAAGAAATAACCGAGATATTCCTGGAAAAGCAGAGCATTGAGAGGGACACTGGCACTTCCAGATACTAAAAAGACTAAGATAAAGATACAATTTGCAAGGCTAGAGAAATGAAAACAGTGGGGTTGGCACATGAACACACAGACAACTCAATGGGAAAAAGTGAGTACAGAAATAAACTTAAATTTACAATCAGGAATTAAACAGCCAGACACAGCATCTCACACCTGTAATCCCAGCACTTTGGGAGGCCAAGGTGGGTGGATCCCTTGAGCCCAGGAGTTCCAGACCAGGCTGGGCATCATAGTGGAACTCTGTCTCCACTAAAAATACAAAAATTATCCAAGCGTGGAGGTGTGAGCCTGGATTATTTAGTCCCAGCAACTCAGCAAGGTGAGGTAGGAGGAATACTTGAGCCCAGGAGGTTGAGGCTGCGGTGAGTAGAGACTGTGCTCCTGCACTCTGGCCTGGAGACAGAGCGAGACTGGCTCAACAAAAAAATATGATAAACATGGCAAACCAGATCCATAAGGAAGAGATGAGTAGGGGAATGAACAGTGTCCAGAGTCCCAGCAACAAAACAAATACAGATGGAAGCAAACCATAAATGTACTAGAAAAAAACACTGGAGAATTTTTAAAATTTATCATGTTATAGGGAAGGTCTATCTCAGGGAAAGAAAAAAAGAAATCCAGAGGCCACGAAGATAAACCTTTATACATTTAACTAAGTTAAAATTTGCATTTTCTTCAAGGCAAAAAGCACACAAGTAGATAAATGAGCAAACGACGCAAAATAATTCACAGAGACATAGGAAAGACTTTTGAGCATCAAGAGATGTTAAACATAATTTCATCAAGGAAAGCAAATTAAAACAGCAATGTGGT